GGTTAATGGTTTGCTCTGAATCTGGCAACTTCGGCTTTCAAGTTGGAACAAAATGCACAATTCCAGTTAACTGGAAGTTTGTTAATTTGATGAATTATGTCAAGGGGAGATCAAAGATTGGTAGATCATTTCATATCAGCTAACAAGGATTGGGTATTTAAATAGGCGAGGGAAATGGTTCCAATTATGATGGCTGCATTGTTTTGTGTTTTGTGTTTATTATCTGCTGCTTTAATTAGTGAATGCAATATTTTACCACATGTACATCAAATGTACTATATGTATGAGTGAGTAATAGGCAAATTCTAAGGTAATTTCTACCTCTAAAATTTGAGATGTATTTTGTTATTAGACTACTTATGAGACAGATGTATTATTTTTCCAATGTAGAAATATAAATGCTAATGAATGTCAAAATTATACATAGATTTATTCTTTATTTTAAGCAGAAATTATGAAATACAATACTATTGTTAATACCAGCCATTTGTTGTCTCATTATTGACATGCTACAACCATGAACCTTCTTGGTCTCTTCTGTAATTTTTGTATCTATAATAGGAATAATTTTGAGCATTTTGAATATGTTTCCTTATAGAGAACAGCATTAGAGTGGATAAGCAAAGCATACAAAGTGGCTCTTTGAATTGGAAGAAATGTTGAAAGTAATGCAGATTATAGGGGGAAATCAACTGTAATCTATATTTGAACATAAAATTTAGTTTAAAAAAAATTAAATGATTTAATTGGTAAGCATGCTTTCTTATTTCAGTGTATATTCTCTGAAGTATGCTATCTATATTTTATTTAAAGGATCCATTTTATATTGTCTCATGAATTGCAATTTTTACCACTTTCTTATAAAACATTTGGAATTATTAATGTTTATTTTTATATCAGAGTAATAAAAATTTACTTCTTTTCTGTTCTTCAAATATGTTGTTGCCATTCTCTACACAGCAATTTGTAAGTTGAGTTCCTATGAAATCATTTTTTTAAAAATGGATAAGATTAAAGTAGCATTTAAAATCTTTATCTAATTATTTCTCTAAAGCTATGTCTATACTGCCATCCCAAATCAATAATATGTTGTCTGCAATACTTAATACTTAGAGAAACAAAAATTAGTTTTTTTATTTCTGTCCTATGCTAGGATCAGTAATAGTGACAATGGGAAATATTATTTGTTAGTTTTATATACTATCTTTTGTTTAGGAACTCAAAGTGGCATGTGTTATTTCATAATTATTATTTAGTTAGTTTTGAAAGCTGTCCAACTTCCAGTGCCTCTAGGCAGTTTATAAATTATGCTATTAAGCAAAAATCAAGATATTAAGCAAAAATCAAGAACATGGGGCATAACCTTAAACTGACCAGAGGGAAGTTCAAAAGTAATGTTGGAAAGTGTTCACAGAAAGAGTAACTGAAACTTGGAACCACTTCCATTGGAGGTAGTGGATCAATCATTAGAAACTGAATGTAAACATACTTGGAATAAACACATGCCCATCGTCCAATGAAAATTAAAACATAAAATCGAAATAAATATACCATTTCCCTGAAAATATGACCTACCCTAAAAGTAAGTCCAAGCTTGATTTTTACACATGTGCCCAATATAAGTCCTACCCCCCAAAATAAGCCCTAATTAAGATCCCGCCCACTCCAGAGTGCATAGGTAAAAATTAAACTAGACTGGGGATGGGGGTGTGGAGCTGCCCTTCTACTTAACTTTGGACAGTTATAGCCAGGCCTCACATACCCTGACACCTGCCTTGCCGACCCATTTTTTCTGTGCTGGCAAGGGTTTCCTGAAGGCCTCTAGCTGATAACAAAGGCTGCCAAGCCTTGCCGGCCACAAAAGAAGTTCATGAAGGCCTCTGACAGCAAAAAGGAAGCCAGGGGTGATGCACGCAAGTGAGGTGAGTGGATGACATCCGCCCAAAATAAGACCTGGTACCTTTGGTGGCAAAATAATTATAAGACAGGGTCTTATTTTCAGAGAAACATGGTAAACAATAATTAAACAAAAACAAACAGACTTAATGGACCACTAGGTCCTTTTTCTGCCATCAGTTTTCTATGTTTCTATGTAGTTACAAAGGAAATAAATCATTAAAACGATTAAAAGAGAAAAAGACATGTAATACCCGGACAAAATCAGTCATTACATTTCAAAAAAAATCATCAGGCAACAACGTAACCCCAGGTCTGGGAGCAAAACCAACTTTCAAAGACTTGTGGTACACTTGCAAAGTGCAAGCTGTGCATATCTCCAGGGGGATGCTGTCCCAGAATTGCTGTTCCACAAGAGGCCACATAGGAATAGTGTACAGATAGTCATTGCTTAATGACACTAATTGTGACCAGAAACTCTGTCAATAAGCAATATGGTTATGTCAAAAAAAATTGATTCTACTGGTTAGTAATGGCAGTTCTGTCAACTCCTGGTGCCTTTGTTAAGTGAGCACTATGCAGGTAGTTAAGCAAGTATCTCATGTGACCATGACTTGCACCATCCTGCTGACTTCCTCATTGACTTTGCTTGTGGAAAACGAGCAAGGAAAGCCACAAATTGCAATCTCTTGACCGTGGGAATGTTGCCATAGCCATAAGTACAAGGACCAGTCATAACTAGTACAGTGCCATCATAAGTTTGAATGATCACTGAATGTGTGGTCATTAAAGAAGGACCACCTGTAGTCCATGGCCTTTATCCCAGAAGTGTCAAACTCACATCGTCACGGCATCATCACGTGATGTATCATGACTTTTTCCCCCTTTGCTAAACTGGCCGTGCGTGTGGCCAGCGCATGATGTATCTGGTCCACAAGCCGTGAGTTTGGCACTCCTGCTCTATCCCATCCCTATTCCAGGCTGCAGCCAAAGCTGCAACATTGTTCACCGGATCCTCAGGGAAAATCCCAAGTTCTATCTAGAATCCAAATTGGTCTTTTAGTTTTCTGGGATGGACCAACTTAGCATGACCGCCTTCTCCAGAGGGTTGGTGACATCAAATTGGAAGAGTTCTGCTTACAGCAGGGGTGTCAAACTCATGGTGTCATGGCGGCATCATGTGACATAATGGGACTTTTTTCCCCTTTGCTAAATCGAGCGGGGGAGGGGACAGCACGTGATGCATCCGGCCCGCAGGCCATGAGTTTGACACCCCTGGTCTGCAGGAATGGACTAATGATAATATTCTTCAATGACACATCACATCATAACTGCTGTGTAAAACAAAATAGATGAAGAGTGTAACTCCTGGTATATGTCAAGCCTTTGATTACTTGGAAGAAATGCATGATTGTCAGGGTGGTCATGAGCCCTAAGCTGCCATGGACTCAACATCCCTTGGAGGCATATTAAAATCCCTGAGAACTACTATCCTCAGGAAGTCCACCACCAATCCAGTAATGAATCCAGCAGTTCCATCAGGAAAGAGGTTGTGCAGAAGGGAGGGTAGTACGACAGTAGCAGTCCCAACTGTTGTCCAAAACCTGAGTTCATCTAGGAAAAGTCCCATATCCAATTAGACCAGGGGTGAGGAACTATGGCCCTTTTGTGAGTTGTGGGCTTCAACTCTCAGAATTCCACAAGTCACAAAATGGCCATAGTTCCCCACCTCTGAGTTAGACCCTTCACCCATATCTAGTACTGCTGTCAGCCAGTTTTCACTACAGTTACTTTCCTTGTTTTTTTTTTTCCCCTTGAAAATGATGGAACAGATTACAGGAAGTGGAAGATATATTGATCCATCTCAGTTACTCATTTCTATATATGTAGTTTCTATTTGTTTCATTTCCATACAGGTTTCAAAAGTGGCAAATATTTTGCGCAAATTAATACATTACACAAAATTTCAAACACCCAAGTTGAAAGGTTATGTAACGTATTAATTTTACAACTTTACATAACATAGATGGGATTATATTAGAAGGCCAGCTCAGAAATATAACAATTCTTGTTGCCAAGGAGCAGGAAGGTATGTAATTAAGGGAGGGTTTGAATGTTGCAATTACGATAAAATTAGGTCATATGATTTGAAACTGGGAGAAGCATCAAAACTTTTCTCACCGTAACACAAACCTAGAGTTGAGAAGAATATGTGGAAGCAGGCATTTGGGATCCCAAGCAGCAGCTTGGGATGAATGAACATCAGTGGTAGGAGAAGGCCAAAAAGAGCAATGAACAGAACTACCATCTCAAACAAAATGTGACTCAGGAACCACAGTGGGTGGAGGGAGAGGGAGAGGGAGAAATATCCATTTCTGCAATAGCTGCCTTTTTAGAGCAAGTGACATTTTCTTCTCCCTCCCCTTCTCCCTCCTATAATCTCTGAATAATTCATAAAGATCAGACGCAGAAGCATCACATTCTAGCGCTGATAGATACAGCAAGCATTTTGGAAAGCTCAAGAGAACGTGCCACATCTTCAGATGCACTGCTAAGACACTTCCTAGGATTTTGGGGTATTCCTTTTCCTTCTTGGAGGAATGCTCCTCATTTTCCTATCTTAGGGTACTCATTGCTACCTTAGGAGGTCTTGGGCATCTAAAAGGGGACCTATATGGTTGAATTATTATTTTTGCTCTGGATTTGTTTTTTGTTTTTTTTATGTTTTGCTTATTCGCAATTGCCACACTTCACATGCACTTTTTGGGATCTCATCACCGGTTCAAACAACACTGCATCTTCTTCACTTTATTTTCTGAATCCTATCTATGCTTTTTTTTAAAAAAAATTGCTTATAGCTGACACTGAATCTGGAATGATCAGGGAGTTTTATGGACTTCTGTAGAATCCAATTTGTCTGATTCTCTTAAATATTATCTGCATTCTCGGGGATGCCTTCAACTTTTCCAACCATCTGTCTTTGGCTGTCTGTTGTGTGTAGTCCTGTAGACATGTCTTAATTTCGGAAGGGCTTCATCACTTAGAATCAAGCAGCAAATACGTTTGTTTGGAGGTGTGAGAAAGTTTAACTTCTGTGCAACAAGATGGTCAACACTTCTTCCTTCTCTTCTTCCTGGAGCTCCAGACCCCTACAATTGTTCCTTTGTCGTGAAGACTCCCTAGGAACTAGGTTGCCTTTGTCTCTACTCTATTTGTTGTTGGCTATCTCTGGAACTTTATCCAACTTCATGGTTATTTATATGGTCTTCACTTCCAGAAAGCTGCGTATCACCAGCAATGCTTTCATTGTGAATGGTTGTATCGCTGACCTGAGTGTGTGTGGTTTTTGGATGCCACAAGAAGCAATGCAGGGATTGCTACCTTCTGGTTCCCCTACAGCTCATTCAGAAGGTTACCACTTATTCCAGAGTAGTCTTCTTGTTCTTGGGCTGTTTGTTTCATTACTTTCCCACCTCTTGGTGGCCCTCAACCGGTACGTGATCATTACCAAACCACACATTGTCTACCAGGCTGTTTATCAGAGGAAGCATTCTACTTGGATGATATGTTTGACCTGGATATTTGCTCTTCTCCTTGCCTTGGTCCAACCAGGACTGGAAACCTGGCAATCAATCCAGCAAGAGTCTGAAAATGCCACCAGTAACAACAGCTCTAACTATGCAAGCCTAGGAATAGCCCTTGCTATTCTCAGCCAGACCGTTCTCCTGTTCCATTGCTACATGAGGATTGTGAGGCATGTCCAGGGCAGTGTCAAACGGGTCAGTGTCCTTGACTTCCATCTTCTGCAACAGCTGCCCTTTCTCCATACTACTGGCCAAGCTTCCCGTCGGTCCCAGCGCCATTTGAGCAGCATCTCTATGTTGCTCCTGTGTCTGACATTCTTCCTGACAACCCAACCATTGGTCTGGGTAAGCCTCCTGAACTTTTTCTTTCATCCTGCCCCCCGGGAGCTGCAGTTATCCAGCTGTCTCCTTCTGTGTTCTCTCTCTGCCTTCAACCCACTGCTCTATACTTGGAAGAATGAAGAATTTCGGCGTTGCCTGCGCCTAATACTACGTGGAAGAGAAAGTACAACTGTAGCAGTAGCTGCAGCAGAAGTCTCTACAACTCTTCCAACAGTGTCTCCTCCAACCTGAGGACTACAGGTCAGCACCAAGTTAGAAAGTGGAGGGAGCTTAAAACTTCAGCAATCACCAAAGAAAACCTATAGCATGCCTGAATGAAAGAGTACTAGAAGGATGTTGCAATTGGAAATGACTCATTTGAAAGGAAGTCTTCAACTCCTTAAGGAGAAGGTTTTTTTATTTCTCCTTTAGATAGGCTTGTCACTGCAGGGAAAAGCATAAATATTTATAACAAAGTACATTACTTTGCAATTTTGCAGGCGCTCACTCATTGTATACAACCTAAAGCAAGCATCATGTGTCACTTAAATTGCTAATAAATGTCTGAACTAGAAGCAAGTATGGGGTCTGGGGATATATGTGTGTGTACGCATGTGTGTTTTGTCTTAGCTGGAAAATATTTGTGTTCCTTTCTTGGTTAACAATCCTCCAAAGTACTAAAGTGAAACGAAGGAATTACTCTTGCATTGAGATAATGCTTATAGACAATAATGAAAAGGATACAGAGATAAACGCCTATCATTTCCACATAGCATCCCAGAAATAGAACTAGAAGAAAAAGGAAGGAAGGAAGGAAGGAAGGGAGGGAGGGAGGGAGGGAGGGAGGGAGGGAGGGAGGGAGGAAAGAAAGAGATAGAAAGAAAAGGAAAGTTACACTTATGACTTTTCTATAGAACCCTCAGGAGGTGGAATTGTGTGACAAATATACTTTTTGTTTCTCATTCACCATATGGAGCAAGAGATGGCTTTTGAATCTAGATCTGTAGCCCAGGTCTAGAATGTGGATCTAAAGATGACAAGTCATTCCTTGGATTGACCACCTGGTTGATTCCTTTCATCCTATGATTCAGCAAATCAACCCTTAAATAATTAGAGTATACTATTTTTGTAGGCATAAATCTCCTACATCTGCTTTTCTTCTTTCCTTACTTCAAATGTTCTATCTTGCCTGATCATTTTCCTCCCCCAGAATAGAAGACAAGGAATACTTGACAGAAAGTAGGCTGCAGAATTAAGCCTCTTGTGGGACATGCTATGAATTACTGTAACCCCTGTCTTACATATTTCTTTTCTGTGATTGTCAAAGATCCAAAAGGAAAATTATTTAATGACTATGAAGTTTTTTTCCCAGTACAATTTAGTAATTGTTTTAAACAAAACGTACAGCTTGAAAATGTACCGTATGTGTATATGGAAATAATGGTTGAGGATAAAAGTTTTGGGCAACCTTAACTTTCCACACCAGTTTTTTAATGTAATTAGAAGCAATGGCAGCTGAATCTATTATTAAGAACCTCAGAAGCCTTGTATTACAATTTTCTAAAATAATAAAGGAATCCCTACTTATACTGCAATCTCCTTTATGACAATGCCATTTGTACTTGCAACAGTAAACTGCAACAATAAGATGAAAACCCTAAAATTGTAGTTTATCAAGTAAATGTTTTTAAGGGTTCAGAAAGAGAAAGAAATATATTCGGAAATGCAAGAGGCATTCTTGAACACTTTCTATAGGAAAGGCCTCAAAATTGTCTTAAAAATTCCTCAACAGACAGCCATAGCCAAACACAATCCCACTAAAAATAAAATCAGAGCCCAGGCTTCCCATAGGCTTCTGCTCCTTAAATTTTTGCTTATAACTTGCTCAGGAACCTGTGAAAGAATATAGGACAGTTCCAGCTGGGCTGAATGGCAAGAGAGGCTTTGATACAAACTGAGAGGTGCTGCATGCTGATAATGGAGAGCTACGGTCAGAATCCCAACAAGGGTAATGCAGCTATTACCCTATTTCTCCAACAATACGGCCTCCCCCAATAGGAAGTCCCAGCATGTTTTCTTGGCATCAAATGAAATTAAGCCCCTCCCCCCAAATTAAGGCTTATATTAAAACATGTGAAATGGGGGGGAATGGCGGGGGGGTTGCCACAGTGTTTGGAGCAACGCCGCGGTGTTTGGCGCAGCCACGCGGCGTTTGGCGCAGCCACGCGCAGCCAGCCAGGGCTCCTCCCTGCAACCGGAGCCTGGTGGAGACACTCGGCTTCAGGTGCTGCTTCCCTGGCCGGCAGGTCCAGCGGAGAGAGCCCGAAGCCGCCCATCCTTTCCACCCCTCACCCAGCCCTTCCCTGTCCCCATGCATCTCCCAACTCACTGGCAGCTCCAAATGCTGCAGCGGCATGAGCATCAGGCAGAGGCACTCACTCGGCGGGGCTCAGCTTGGAGGAGGACGTGGCACGGGCTGTCGCCTTGCCTCCCTGTTCACGGATGGGTGAGCGCTATCACTGCCTCAGGTAGCCTCTCCCAGTGGCCCCTTCCGGGTCAGGCTGGAGGGACTTGGGAAGGAAGCCAAGCTCAAGTCAGCCTGGTTCTTTCGCTTGGCAGGCAGGTGCGCACCAGTGGCTCACTTTCCCGGCTCTGCCAACCCCACCCGGCTCTGGTGCGGCCCTGGTGGGATAAGTGGAGGGTCCGGTGGAGAGGCGCTCGCTGCTTTGGCCAGAGCTCCGCCGCCAGGCAGGAGGGCCCACCTGCCAGCTGCACTGGGCGCCTCAGGCAAAGCTCTTCGTGCTCTGCACGGTGCCAGGCAGGGATGGCGGCTGGGCGCTTCTCCCGGGGTGGGCTGATCCTGCGCTGTGGCCCCAGGAGATTTGCCTCCCCATGTGGGGTTGGGCTGCCCTCTTGGGCACGGCAGGCTTTGTCGTACCGATAGTAGGATGTTGTTTTTAAAAGGATGGGCTTTGCCTTCGAACGATGCCCAGGAAGGCGGTGACAGGAGCGCCTGAAGCCGAGTGTCTCCGCTGGGCTCCATTTGCAGGAAGGACCCCTGGCCGGCCCCGCATGGCTGCGCCAAATGCTGCGTGGCTGCGCCAAGCACCACAGTGTTGCTCTAAATGCCGCGGCAGCATGGGGAGAAGGGAAAGCAACGGTCGTGGAAGGTCTCCTGATACAAAGTGCCCCACCAACGCCGAGGTCAACATCCAAGCTGTCCCGCCCGCCTGCCCGAGGATGCAAGGGGCGGGAATTAAGTCACCCCCGAAAAGACGGCCTAGCCGTTTTTTCGGGGCTCAAAAAAAAAAAAGAAAGACCCGGCCTTATTATATGAGAAACACGGTAGGAAAGGAAGTTCAGGCCTCAAACAAGGAAATCTAAAAACTTCTTAGGCAAATATATATCCAGGAATTTCTTTGGCATAAGTAATAAGTCTCTCCTGTTAACAGAAATAGATGTATGGGTCACCGGTGGAGTCAAATTCTCAGGCATAAAATATCTTTGCTAAAAGCTGCCAGATCTAGGCTGCAAAAATCCAGGTGACTAAGAAAATGGCCAGAAAGAGTTAACTTTTCCTTGTCTCTTTGCTGCCATCCAGTGTTTCTGGAAGTTTTTGGAATTCCAGGTATGTTTGCCTAGCTTTGCTGCAGTTCAGTTTGGAATGCAAAAACATCATTGCACAGCTTATTTCCTTCCACTCTTTCCTTTCATAATTATCTTTGACCGTGTGTTCATTATATATTCAGGGGAAATGATATGCTTTGTTTCTGCCATATCTCAGCATCTTACTGCAGTCTATATTCAGTTGCCAAGGTTCTTATGATGGGGCCATTTGTATTACACAAAGTTCAGCAAAGGAGGGAACACTTAATTCTCCCTCCCAGGTGTATTGTCCCTAAAGCTTCTGTCAGTAACATTTACCCCTGATGGGTTCCAGCAGGTCATTTTCACAGGCAAACTTGCATGCCAAACACCTTTTATTGCTGCTACTGTATTTTATTGATATTCAAGCTTTTTTTTTTAATTCAAAGGATAGACATGATCCATAAAATCCTTTCTTTCCTTCTAGCTTATGGTACAGTCTTAGTTGAGAAAGCCTAAAGTTTCCATATATGTTAACTTACAAACGTCATTTTCATGATTCTTCCAAAATAGGTAACAAATGTCTCCTTCAATTGCATGCAAACGTTTAGGCACCTCTGATTAAATTGTATATTTAAATCAGTGTTTCTGATCACTTGAGGATATTTGGACTTCAACTCTGGAGGTCTAGGGAATTCTGGATAGTTGAAGTCCAAATATCTTAAGGGGGACAACATTGGGAAACACTGGTTTAAATGAAATTCTAGATAAACATGTTCTGATTCAACCTCTAATTAGTAGAAAACACAAGCAGCCTTATGAGAATATGAATGCATGTTTACTATTTATGGGCTGCCATTTTTAGTTTCAGGATAAAAACAGTGAATCCAAAACATTGTTTCAGGCTTATCAAAGTTTTCTTTGATAGATTTTAAAGGACGAGGTTAGAAAAACAAGATCTTACCTGTCATTTCTCCCACATAGTTCACTCACTGTTGTCTAAGCAACATTGTTGGTTGGACCTGTGGATTTTTCAAGGTCTTTTGCAATGAGTTGCTTTGCAGATTTAACCAGTTTGGGGGCAGTTGAAGCACAGATTTCTTGAGTTTATCACTATTAAAATTGGTAACTGAAAGCGTTCAGATTTATTTTACATGAATGAATGATCTTCATTTTCAAATATGTAGAGCAGGGTTGTCAATCTCACAACATCACGTGATGTATTGTGACTTTTCCCCCTTTCACTAAAAAGGGGGTGGGGTTGGCCAAAATGTGATGCACCCGGTTGTGAGTTTGACACCCCTGATGTAGAGGAACCCATATTTGTTGAAAGTAAATTAACAATCACAATTAGACAGGTTAGGTGGTTCAGAGGGATTATTCATCTATAGAACTGCTATTGAATAGATAACAGATAATCAGAGTTGGAAGGGACCTTGTAGGTCATCTAGTCCAACTGCCCACCCAAATGGGAGACCCTACACCATTGCTGACAAATGGCAGTCCAATCTCTTCTCGAAAGTCTCAAGTGATGGTGCTCCCATAACTTCTGAGGGAAAGCTGTTCCATTGGTTGATTGTTCTCACTGTCAGAAAGTTTCTCCTTATTTCCAGGTTAAATCTCTCCTTGTTCAGTTTCTATCCATTATTCCTTGTCTGGCCTACAGG